TGCACTGACACCTAGACCCGCTTAGCGTATTACAAGTTCTGCTTTATCTTGGGGTGTCCTGCAGAGACCGGGGGCCCACAGCCTGAGATGACCACCTGGCCAGTTTAGCATACTTATTAGCATTACACACACAGGGGGCCTGCTACTCAGGCCACCCATTGATCAGTGCATCTTGAGATCAAGATCAGGGTGCCAGAGACACACGCACACACACCTGGTCTAGATCACATATTAGCAAGCAAGCGCAGGCAGGGGTTGACCTACCCACACCAAATAGCCAACAGGATTACGAAGTGCGGAATGTTCAGGGCGGAGCAGCCCAAGAACTTAAAAGTATTGTGAAAATGTACGTAACTCATGGTTTAGAGAATGGAATTCCTCCGGGAGCTCTGTCTGTCTGATCCCAGCGCTGTATGGACCTCACCTGTGCTCAGACTTCCAGTAAACTTCCTGTTGATTTTAAACTGTCCTCTCCTGTCTTCACTTCTTGTGCTTTCAATAAAAGAATTTGGGTAAAATCTAACATTTTGAAAAATTTAGTACTGTGCGCTCTGTTTAATATCATTACATGCAGTTTGCCTCCCACCCTCTGATGAACAATAAAATATATTCTCTAAATATGTGGTTGCTAGTCATCATCTTAAAATGTTGTTTTAATTTGTGTGCAGAAATTACTAAATCAAAAGCAATAGGAACTAAATCCTGCGGGCAAAATGTTTTTTTCCCCCACCATGACACCTCCAGGCTCCAGAGAAAAGTCAGAAAAATAAAAACAAATACACATCTAATATAATCATCTAACAGCTGCTCAGATCTATCTTGGGAACCCCTGATCCCCATCAATGCTACACCCATTTTAGAGTACACCTTATTCTGTCATTTTTCCAAAAACTACAACGTCAAAACAAAGTTAGAAATGCTGTATAGTTTAAAACTGGGACACAGGAAGCGACTGAGAAATCTGAGTGAAGAATGGGCTTACCTAAAGAGTAAATGACAGCATGGATCCAAACAAAACTCCCATAAGATGATGAACATCATACATAAACAATGACACTGAGCAGTGCGGAGAATCTGAGGGAGGGTTCCTTCACTTCATCATGACTCATGACTTTAATAGTGAGCCACACTGCACTTTGCTTTCATACCAGCAATTACCCTGCAGGAGTAGGTGGCAGTTTTCTCAAACAGTGAATAAATCATCTCAGAAACAAACTCTTTGTACGAATGCAACTGAAACTGACGACAGTGTCGCACACATGTCGGTGTTCAAATGACCGGAAGAGCCGGTTACTTGTCAAACTCAGGACTGCAAACACACACATAGCTGCCATCAACACTGCTGTGAGTGCAAACAGAGCGCTTGCTGTGTTTACAGCTGAAGCCCACTAAATGTCAGGCAAGAGTAACAGGTACAGCCAAACACAGTCTGCAGCCTCCTCTGTGTTTGACATGAACATAAAACCTGGGACAGAGAGGCGGACTTACAGTGCAGGCAGACATTGAGTCGTCCTCACCCAGTTGGTCCTCTGGATCATGATGTGCATCCTGTAATCACACACAGAGATGTCATGCATTAACACACACCTGATACGCAGCAGGTAATTAGCCCCTGGCCCCTGAGTGTTCCTCCAGGCAGCTGCTTCAGGTTGGAACATGTTCACCTGAACAACAGCCTGCTGCACAACACTGCTGGTGCTCATGGAACAGCCCTGTTCCAGACAGATCATCCCATTTACAGTATATGCTTGAGCACTGAGGC